TCTGGGGGGGACGTGTTCACCTGCTCCCTCGGGAACCTGCCCCCAGGGGAAGAGGCAGTGCTGTCACTGCGTTACGTCCAGGAGCTGCCCCTTGAGGCGGACGGGGCCACGCGCTTTGTCTTGCCAGCTGTGTTGCATCCCCGCTACGCACCACAGGGTGAGTTACACACCCTGCACCATGCACCTTGCTGTGGGTGATAACCCTTTCGCTAAGCATCCTGCAGCAGGGGATATCCCTCTGTCGTATGCCCCCTGAGGAATGACCACTGTAGCCTCCCTGTTATGTGTTATGACCAGACACCACAGCTTGCATTTCACGTGATGCTTACCACCTCTCCCCAACATGATGAAGTGATCCCCAAACTACTCACGCCCTCAGGGACCCATGAACATTGGCAGAGTTTCTCCTGTCTGCATATGACGGCTAAGTTCATGCCAGTGCAGTCTCCTAGAGAGAGATACGAGGTCTCAGCAAATGTAGCCGGGGTCCATGGAGACCTGGCCACACTCCTCTCACACCTGGTGCATCCTGCCAACACATCTTCTTGTGGTGAGGGCACAGGACACCAGCAAACATGGCCAAGTGTTGCACCTGCATGGTGCTGCCAGCAGCTGTGAACAGGAAGGCATTCTGGGGGAGACTTTCCAGCCAGAATATCACCTTAAATGCCAGCCTGTCCCCACAGTCGCTCTGGCCCCATGCCCGCCTGCTTGGGTCATGGCTCCTGGGGCCTCTTTCCATCTATCCAGGGCCCTCTCCTGGTTTGAATCTGGTCAGAGCTCACTGACCTAACTGGTGCTGGCCCAGATGGGCAGAAGTGGCATCCGGTTAGGCCTTGTTCACTGAAAGCCAGCAGAGAAGCTGAGCCCCTCCAGTGCCAGCAAGGCGCAGCACAGATTGAACAAGGAAACCAAGTCCTAGTATTCATAAAAAGAAAGCAAAAATGGATGCCTTTGCCACCTCCCTGGCTCGCCAGTAATCACCTGTACCTTCTCAGCTGACCGCGGAGCCCCTGCTCAACGTCCCGCTACAAGGCACCCCAAATGCCTTGCACACTACAAGCCTTTCAAAACCCCCCTGCCACTTGTCCCAGTGCATAACACACCTGTACCCCGACCGTGAGCCCATCCCTGCAAAGCCTAGAAGTCTCCCGAAGTATGTGACCCCAGATCCCCCCCCCGGCCCCTCATCTTGGCCATCTGCTTTCCCGCAGGATGGGAAGAGGAGAATGTCACCGCAGGTGTCCCATATGTGTCCAAGGGAGAACTGCCCTATACCCTGAGCCTGAGCGTCAGCCTGCAGTCACCCCACGGTATTGCCCGTGTCCACTCCAACTGCACCCTCACCCCCTTGAACTACACAGCGCAGGACCAGACTGCTGCCCAGGTAAGGGAGGACGGCCCTTGCACCCAGAACACAGCCAGCTCCCCCACCCTCACAAGGGTGGATTGGATGGGGTCTGGAGTGGAGCAGCTTGTTTCGGGTTTTTTTCCCCACGTTTTCATCCAAAAAGAGTTTGGTGTAGGTTTTAGGGCTTTCCTCTGCACTTATGTCACAGGAAATCCTAGAAAATGAGGGTTGGAAGAGACCTCAGGAGGTCACATCTAGCCCAACTCCCTGCTCAAAGCAGGACCAGCCCCAACTAGATCATCCCAACCAAGGCTTTGTCCGACCAGGTCTTAAAAAACTCGAGCAATGGAGACTCCACCACCTCTCTGGGTGCCCTGTTGCGGTGCCGTACTACCCTGCTTGTGAGGAAGTGGGAGGGTAGAGCTGGGGAGGGGTGTGATTTTCTCCAAAGAATAAAAAGTAGCCAGCAGGACAGAGGCTGCCTGGCTCTGACTGGGTTCCAGAGATTGGCCCTTGGGAGTGGGGCCAGGAAAGTGTCCTAGGAAAATGGCAACCTTTTTGTTGGCAGCA